GTAAAATGGGTAATATTCTTGCAGGCAATATGTGCATCATATCAAGATTATTAAAAAAGTTGTATATTGTTGGTTATGTTGAGTTGCTATTATTTAATACCGTATTAGGGTTATCAATTGATAAAAGATATGAATAAATTTCGCTAAGATGGTTAATGTCCGATCTTTTGTTGATACAATTTGGTTCTTGGGCAATGAAAGACATTTCCAAAAAAGTTCTTTTTTTGTGGTTACTTTCTGTAGCTAAAATTCTTGCTGATTGAAAATCCATTTTGTGATCAGAGGAATTAACATGGTCCGCCAAAGCACATCTTTCTGGATGAAGCCTACAGTCGCTCCTGTGGGATGTGATTCTGTTGGCTAATGATCTCTTTGATTGCCCGATGTATATTTTATCACAATCCTGACAGGGGATGCTGTACACCACATTCGTCTGTGCAGTAAGAGGTACTTTGTCTTTGACTTTGGTGTAAATTGATCTAATTGTTAAAACTGTTTTATTGGCAATTTTTAGGTTAGGATTTGGAAGAAAAATTCTTGTGAGTTTTGGAGTTAAATCTGATATGTACGGAAGTGAAGAAAAAATTGTATGTATTGGAGGAGTATCAGTAACCACAGTCTCATGCAATTGAATGTTGATTTCAGGTGGAGCTGTCTGTGTCATGGGTGCACTGTGTAGAATTTTTTTGACTAATTGTGGTGGATATGAATTTTCTATGAATAAAGATTGTAAAATATTTAAATTCTTCCTGTGAAATGATGTATCAGAAATTCTGATTATCCTGTTCTTCATTTGTTTTAACAAATTCACCTTCATGTTCTGTTGGTGGAACGAGTTGTAGTTGAGAAATCTGCCTGAACTGCAAGATTTGCGATACCAATCGATTAGGACTATATTGTCCCTCGATCTCACTAGTCTGGTATCAAGGAATGGGACAGCTCTGTCCGTATCTTCAGTTTCAATGGTGAATTGAATTGCTGGATCATAGCTATTAAAGGTAAACAGAATTTCTTCTATACCATCTTCAGGAAGTGAAAGGATGATGTCGTCCACATATTTTTTTATGAAAAAAAGATCAAATGATAACACTGGAATTACTGTGTCTAACAGGTCATCCATTACATAGGCAGCGAGAATTGGTGAAATTGATGCACCCATCGGGGTGCCAAAAGTTTGTTTATAGAATTTGTTGTTGAATGAGAAATATGTATTATTGAATAAAAAAGTGATGAGATCTAGGAACGACTCTTTAGTGATTGTACAGTAGTTGTTGATACGTGACCAATTTTTTTCAATTGCTCTCAAGCAAGCATCTAAATAGACATTGCTAAAAAGTGATACAACATCTAAGCTTGCTAAGACATGTCTCTGTGGGAGTTTTATTTTGTTGAATTTTTCTGATAACTCAAAAGAATCTTTTATGTAATACTGATTGTCTTGATCATAAGCTCTTGTCAAAATATCTGTAAGGTAAGCTGCAATAGCTTCAGTGGGTGCTCCTATTGATGCCACTATTGGTCTGACTGACAACGTTGGTTTATGTATTTTTGGCAGTGCATAGAATTTAGGAGATATTCCATTGTAGCTAGTGAGCTTTTTTTTAGTAGCTTCATCAATCTGTCCTGAATCTTTCAATTTTTTAATCAAGATGTTACCTTGTCTTTGTATTGTAGAGGTTGGATCTTTCTTTAATTCTGAATATGATGTACTGTTCAGTAAGATGTCATTAGACAGGTCTAGGTATTGTTGTTTTTCCATCACTACTGTTACATTCCCTTTATCAGTCAGTAGTGATGGAAAAACAACAATACCTAGACCTGTCTAATGACATCTTACTGAACAGTACATCATATTCAGAATTAAAGAAAGATCCAACCTCTACAATACAAAGACAAGGTAACATCTTGATTAAAAAATTGAAAGATTCAGGACAGATTGATGAAGCTACTAAAAAAAAGCTCACTAGCTACAATGGAATATCTCCTAAATTCTATGCACTGCCAAAAATACATAAACCAACGTTGTCAGTCAGACCAATAGTGGCATCAATAGGAGCACCCACTGAAGCTATTGCAGCTTACCTTACAGATATTTTGACAAGAGCTTATGATCAAGACAATCAGTATTACATAAAAGATTCTTTTGAGTTATCAGAAAAATTCAACAAAATAAAACTCCCACAGAGACATGTCTTAGCAAGCTTAGATGTTGTATCACTTTTTAGCAATGTCTATTTAGATGCTTGCTTGAGAGCAATTGAAAAAAATTGGTCACGTATCAACAACTACTGTACAATCACTAAAGAGTCGTTCCTAGATCTCATCACTTTTTTATTCAATAATACATATTTCTCATTCAACAACAAATTCTATAAACAAACTTTTGGCACCCCGATGGGTGCATCAATTTCACCAATTCTCGCTGCCTATGTAATGGATGACCTGTTAGACACAGTAATTCCAGTGTTATCATTTGATCTTTTTTTCATAAAAAAATATGTGGACGACATCATCCTTTCACTTCCTGAAGATGGTATAGAAGAAATTCTGTTTACCTTTAATAGCTATGATCCAGCAATTCAATTCACCATTGAAACTGAAGATACGGACAGAGCTGTCCCATTCCTTGATACCAGACTAGTGAGATCGAGGGACAATATAGTCCTAATCGATTGGTATCGCAAATCTTGCAGTTCAGGCAGATTTCTCAACTACAACTCGTTCCACCAACAGAACATGAAGGTGAATTTGTTAAAACAAATGAAGAACAGGATAATCAGAATTTCTGATACATCATTTCACAGGAAGAATTTAAATATTTTACAATCTTTATTCATAGAAAATTCATATCCACCACAATTAGTCAAAAAAATTCTACACAGTGCACCCATGACACAGACAGCTCCACCTGAAATCAACATTCAATTGCATGAGACTGTGGTTACTGATACTCCTCCAATACATACAATTTTTTCTTCACTTCCGTACATATCAGATTTAACTCCAAAACTCACAAGAATTTTTCTTCCAAATCCTAACCTAAAAATTGCCAATAAAACAGTTTTAACAATTAGATCAATTTACACCAAAGTCAAAGACAAAGTACCTCTTACTGCACAGACGAATGTGGTGTACAGCATCCCCTGTCAGGATTGTGATAAAATATACATCGGGCAATCAAAGAGATCATTAGCCAACAGAATCACATCCCACAGGAGCGACTGTAGGCTTCATCCAGAAAGATGTGCTTTGGCGGACCATGTTAATTCCTCTGATCACAAAATGGATTTTCAATCAGCAAGAATTTTAGCTACAGAAAGTAACCACAAAAAAAGAACTTTTTTGGAAATGTCTTTCATTGCCCAAGAACCAAATTGTATCAACAAAAGATCGGACATTAACCATCTTAGCGAAATTTATTCATATCTTTTATCAATTGATAACCCTAATACGGTATTAAATAATAGCAACTCAACATAACCAACAATATACAACTTTTTTAATAATCTTGATATGATGCACATATTGCCTGCAAGAATATTACCCATTTTACTAGTAGCTCATAAAACTTTCTCCTTCCAATACTCTTGTGACTAACACACAATAGCACTAAGTACCATAAGACCAAGGTCATCACACTTAAGCTCCATGTCACCAGTGAATTGGAAGAATAAGGTTCAGTTTTCCTAACCAAAGATTTTTATTCTGACACACGTTGTGAAAAGAAAAGTTTCATCATGATTTTAAATCAACAACGTTTTTGATATTGACCTAATATTTTAATTTTTTGAATTTGTCATGTTCCAGATATGTTATACAAACATTTTTTTATTTATACATCACTTGTTAGTAACATCTATGTAACCAACCTCAATGAGTTGTAAGTACTGCACCACTTAGTCAACTAGCTTTGCTTATAATTGTTATAACATTTTGTAGTCTGGCCCTGATGATGGAAATATAACTTTCCGAAAGCTTGGACGAACTTGCATGAGTTTCACTTTTACTTGCTGCTTCCCCACTACTAAGTTTCATCTCTAACTTGTCAGCAACGACTTCCCTTCTCTATATATATATATATAGAAAACTATGTGTTAGGAAAACAGCTAAAATCTCTATTTTCCTTGAGGTTGCAGTCAAAGGGAATGGCCAATGTAGAGAAAAGACTCTTTGTTAAATTGTCGAGCTTTCGAAAAATTTTATTTTCATTATCAAGACATTAACTTGAGTGGTTACATGGAAAACAGCTAATGCACATCATAGTAACTTAAAACACTGCACTATTTTTGAAAACATTTAAGTTACTATGATGTGCATTAGCTGTTTTCCATGTAACCACTCAAGTTAATGTCTTGATAATGAAAATAAAATTTTTCGAAAGCTCGACAATTTAACAAAGAGTCTTTTCTCTACATTGGCCATTCCCTTTGACTGCAACCTCAAGGAAAATAGAGATTTTAGCTGTTTTCCTAACACATAGTTTTCTTCAACTAGTCCAGTCAGGAGACTACCCTTTCACTATATATATATATATATATATATTTACATCCTGCTATCAAAGCAACGTCCATACATTTACTATTTACCATCAATCAGACGTCCAAGTCCAATAGAGCGTCCGAATACGGACGTCCGATTGAACACCCATTGAAAATTTGTCAGCGACCCTAACACAATATAAATATAGTCAACTGTTTGCCGAAAATCGGTGTGGACGCTGAAAAGACGTAATTTTGTAAAATTCGCATATTTTTCGTATATTTTTAGTTAATGCGGTTTGCCGCCTGCCGCGCTAGTAGCGTTCAGTGTATATTCGCGGCGTATATGCTTCTTTCATCATGCGTTTCTTTTGGCGTCCGGAAGTTTGACAACAATGTTTCACAATAGGTGATGAGATTTGGTCCTTGTTTCTCGTTTCTCGAGTGAGTGGTGCGTATTATTTTTCAAGAAGTTTAGTTTTTGAAGTCTTGAGGCGTCAGGCGTCCATTAAAGGTGTAGTAATGGCTGAACCTTATCGTAGATATTTTTCAGACGAGTATGTAAGTAATATATGAGTTACATTGAAGATAATATTGAATGATGATTTGATTCTTATTTTACAGTATAATTGTACAGTGAATTTACCGAGAGCAAGTATCGATAGATGGTTTTGTAACAGGGCCGTTTCTCCAAACCTGCAGGAGAATGAAAATAATGTACTGGTCGAGCTACAAAATGCAACAATAAGTTCATCAGACAATTCTTCGGTTCTGAAAGATTCAGAAGTAGAAGTATCGAATATAATGGAATTAGGCAATAAGGTGAGTAAAAGAATTAAACATTTCACGTTTTGAAACTGTAAAGTTGCGAGGCACTATTAGCTTTGAAATTAGCAGTTCTTCGTGCTTGAACTTGAACAAATTGAGTCTTATGTTGGATTTTTATATTGAGATTATCGAATAGATTTTTTTTCTGTCAAATATTGGAAATAACCTTATTTATGATATCTTGTGAGTGTCTTTCTTGTCCGATTGATTTCAAATCTGTAATTTCCATGGAAAGCTGAATTCAAATTTGAATCACACATGGGGTTTGTATACAGTGTGTCCATTTAATTGAGTGATCCCGTAAAGTAGTTGATAAATTGGTTTTCAAGCCGCTTATATGCTTGGTATGTTTGTTATTTTGTTGGTTTGTATGTTTACACAACGCGAAATCTTCGAAAGTGATTTTAACCCACTTCAAATCGTAGAAATGATTTGAAATTTGGCAGGTTCACATAATTTTGGTGACAATGCACCATACAATTTTTGTTGGACAGAAAACAAAATGGCGGACGAGTTTTGTAATTATGATCCGATTCTATTCAAAATTGGTATTTAAGAGTTTTCGGTGTCGGAGATCATGATTCTATGTCAAAATTGAGGAATTCAAGATGGCGGATCCAATATGGCGAACTAGTTTTGTAATTATAATCCGATTTCATTTGAAATCAGTATCCAGGAGTTTTCGGGGTCAGATGTTATGATTCTTTCGTCAAAATTTGGAAATTCAAGATGACGGATCCAAAATGGCGGACAAGTTTTGTAATTATGATCCGATTTCATTCAGAATTAGTATCTGGGGGGTTTGCAAAGTAGGATATGATATTTTCGTCAAAATTGGTGAATTCAAGATGGCAGATCCAAAATGTCACACGAATTATGTAATTATGATCCGATTTAATTCAAAATTTTGGTATCTGGGGGCTTTCGCGGTCGGAGATAAAGAATATTTTGTCAAAATTGAGAAACTCGAAATGGCGGACAAGTTTTGTAGTTATGATCCTACTCTGTACAGAATTGGTATCTGGAAGTTTTCGGAGTCGGAGATCATGACATTTTTGGCCAAATTTGAAAATTCAAGATGGCGGATCCAAAATGGCGAACGAGTTTTGTAATTATGATCCGATTTCATTCAAAATCAGTATCAGGAAGATTCCGAGGACGCAGATCTTGATTCTTTCGTCAAAGTTTTGAAATTCAAGATGGCGGATCCACAATGGCGCACGAGTTTTGTAATTATGATTCAAATTATGATCATAATTAGGATAGAAAATTAATGGTAGTTCAAAAAACTGAAGAAACACTTTTTCATAGATAGCCAAACTAAAGAGAAGTAGGAAATATAATGATGAGAGTGTGATGATAAATACATAACATACATACTGATAACGAAGGTGCTTATATTTTTTTTGTTGTGTATTTTTCAGCACACTTTTATCATTATTTTTTTCTTCTCCATAGTTTGACTCTCTATAAAAGCGCGTTTTTTGAGTTTTCATCTTTACAGATAATAGTCATTTTGCTATTGTAATTATCGAATCGATTCTTTTTCTGTCAAATATTGGGAATACCTAATTTATGATGGCATTTTGAAAGTGTAATTCTAATCGTTTGAATGATTCTAAATCTGGAATGTCCATGGAGAGATGAATTCAAAATTGAACTACACCTAGGGTTTGTATATAGTGTGTTCATTAAATTGAGTGATCCCGTGAAAAAGTGGATACATTCGTTTTTATGTCGTCAGTATATCACAGTTTTATATAGAATTGAATACAAATGGTGATCTACTTTTGACCTATGACGCCAGCGTATACATTTATTTACATCACGCAATCAAAGCAACGTCCTTACATTTACCATTTACCATCAATCTGACGTCCGAATCCTGATTGAACTTCTATAGAGAATTTGACAGCGATCGTAATACATAATAGTCATTTCGATATTACATATATCCACTTTTATCTTCAATATGTCACATTTTCATTGAGAACTGAATATAAAGTTCGAGCTATCACGCCCGCGTATATATTCACATCACGCAATCAAAGCAACGTCGTCGTTTCATTTATTATTCACCATCAATCTGACGTCCGATTCCCGATTGAACTTCCATAAAAACTTTGTCAGCGATCTCAACAGATAAGAGTCATTTTGATATTGTGATCATCGAATCGATTCTTTCTCTTTCAAATATTGGAAATTCCTGATTTTATTATGGAATTTTGTAAGTGTAATTCTAATCGTCCGATTGATTTCAAATCTGGAATGTCTATGGAGAGATGAATTTGGAATTAAACTACACCTAGGGTTTGTATACAGTGTGTCCATTAAATTGAGTGATCTCGTAAAGTATCGGATAAATTAGTTTTTATCCACACCATCGATTTCTGAGAAATCCAGGTCCATTTTCAATTTCAATATGTCACACTTCAATGGAAAATTGAATACACAGGGTGATCTACGTTTGGGCTATGACGCCCGCGTATACATATATTTACATCACGCAATCAAAGCAACGTCCGTACATTTACTATTTACCATCAATCTGACGTCCGATTCCCGATTGAATTTCCATTAAAACTTTGTCAGCGATCTTATCAGATAAGAGTCATTTTGATATTGTTATTATCGAATCGATTCTTTTTCTTTCAAATATTGGAAATACTTGATTTTATCATGGCATTTTGTGTGTAATTCTAATCGTCCGATTGATTTCAAATCTGGAATGTCCATGGGGAGATGAATTCAAAATTAAACTACACCTAGGGTTTGTATACAGTGTGTCCATTAAATTGAGTGATCTCGTAAAGTATCGGATATATTAGTTTTTATCCACACCATCGATTTCTGAGAAATTCAGGTCCATTTTCAATTTCAATATGTCACACTTTTATGGAAAATTGAATACACAGGGTGATCTACGTTTGGGCTATGACGCCCGCGCATACATATACTTACATCACGCAATCAAAGCAACGTCCGTACATATACTATTTACCATCAATCTGACGTCCGATTCCCGATTGAATTTCCATTAAAACTTTGTCAGCGATCTTATCAGATGAGAGTCATTTTGATATTGTGATTATCGAATCGATTCTTTTTCTTTCAAATATTGGAAATACCTGATTTTATTATGGCATTTTGTGTGTAATTCTAATCGTCCGATTGATTTCGAATCTGGAATGTCTATGGGGAGATGAATTCAAAATTAAACTACACCTAGGGTTTGTATACAGTGTGTCCATTAAATTGAGTGATCTCGTAAAGTATCGGATAAATTAGTTTTCAACCACACCATCGATTCCTGAAAAATCCAGGTACATTTTTAATCCCAATATGTCACTCTTTTATGGTAAATTGAATACACAGGGTGATCTACGTTTGGGCTATGACGCCCGCGTATACATATATTTACATCACGCAATCAAAGCAACGTCCATACATTTACTATTTACCATCAATCTGACGTCCGATTCTCGATTGAACTTCCATCAAAACTTTGTCAGCGATCTTATCAGATAAGAGTCATTTTGATATTGTGATTATCGAATCGATTCTTTCCCTTTCAAATATTGGAAATACCTGATTTTATTATGGCATTTTGTGTGTAATTCTAATCGTCCGATTGATTTCAAATCTGGAATGTCCATGGAGAGATGAATTCAAAATTAAACTACACCTAGAGTTTGTATACAGTGTGTCCATTAAATTGAGTGATCTCGTAAGGTATCGGATAAATTAGTTTTCAACCACACCATCGATTTCTGAGAAATCCAGGTCCATTGCCAATTTTGATATGTCACACTTTTATGGTAGATTGAATACACAGGGTGATCTACGTTTGGGCTATGATGCCCGCGTATACATATATTCACATCACGCAATCAAAGCAACGTCCTTACATTTACCATTTACCATCAATCTGACGTCCGATTCCCGATTGAACTTTTATAGAAGATTTGACAGCGATCGTGATACATAATAGTCTTTCTGATATTAAATCCATCTTCATCTCCAATATGTCACATTTTCATTGGGACTTGAATATAAAGGGTGATCTACGTTTGAGCTATCACGCCCGCGTATATATTCCCATCACGCCATCAAAGCAACGTCCTTACATTTACCATTTACCATCAATCTGACGTCCGATTCCCGATTGAACTGTTATAGAAAATTTCACAGCGATCGTGATACATAATAGTCTTTCTGATATTAAATCCATTTCCATCTCCAATATGTCACATTTTCATTGAGAACTGAATATAAAGGGTGATCTACGTTTGAGCTATCACGCTCGCGTATATATTCACATCACGCAATCAAAGCAACGTCCTTTCATTTACAATTCACCATCAATCTGACGTCCGATTCCCGATTGAACTTTCATAGAAAATTTGACAGGGATCGTTATACATAATAGTCAGTTTGATATCATATCCATTCGAATTTTCAATATGTCACATTTCCATTGAAAATTGGATATATAAAGGGTGATCTACGTTTGAGCTATCACGCCCGTGTATATATTCACAGCACGCAATCAAAGCAACATCGGTACATCCACTATTCACCATCAATCTGACGTCCGATTCCCGATTGAATTTCCATAAAAAAATTTACAGCGATCGTTACACATTATAGTCATTTTGATATTGTTATTATTGAGTCAATTCTTTTTTTGTGGAATATTGGAAATACCTAATTCATGATGGCATTTTGTTAGTGGAACTCTTGTCGTCCGATTGATTTCAAATCTGGAATTTCTATGGAGAGCTGTATTCAAAATCGAATTACACATAGGGATTGTATACAGTGTGTCCATAAAATTGAGTGATCCCGTGAAGTATTTGATAACTTTGTTTTCAACACGCTTATGATAGCTTGATTATGTTTGTTAGTTTGTTGGTTTGTATGCTAACACAACGCGGAATTCTCTCTGTTTTTGACCCACTTCAAAACGTCCAAATGATTTGAAAATTGGCAGGTGTACATGATTCTTGTGACAATGCAGCATGCAGTTTTTTTAGACAAAAAAACAAAATAGCGGTTCCAATATTGCGGACGAGTTTTGTAATTATGATCCGATTCTATTCAAAATTGGTATTTGAGAGTTTTCGGGGTCGGAGATTACGATTCTCTTGGCAAAATTGAGAGATTCAATATGGCAGATCCAAAATGGCACACGAGTTTTGTGATCATGATTCGATTCTATTCTAAATAAGTATCTGGGGATTTTCGTTGTCGGATTTCATGATCATTTCGTCGAAATTTGGAAATTCAAGATGGCGGATCCAAAATGACGGACGAGTTTTGAAATTATAATCTGATTTCATTCTAAATTTGTATCTGGTGGTTTTCGGGGTCAAAGATTAAGATATTCTTATTGAAATTGGAAAAATACAAATAGCGGACAAGTTTTGTGATTATGATCGGATTTCATTCATGTTAGTATCAGGAGGTTTTCGTGGTCGCAGATCATGATTCTTTCGTCGAAAATTCGGAATTCAAAGTGTATCCACAATGGTGGACGAGTTCTGTGATTAGTATCAAAATAGAAAATAGATAGTAGATAGTAGCTTGAGAAACTAAAGAAGAAACACGATTTTATAGATAGCCAAACTAATAGAAGTAGAGAATGAAATAATGCTCATATTATCTATATTGTGTATTCATCAACACACTGTCATTATTATTGTTCCAACCTCCTTATAGTTTGACTATCTATACAATCGCGTTTTTGAGGTTTTTCAAACTATTATTCATTTTCTACTTCTCTTCAGTTCGGCTACCTATCGAAGCGTGTTCCTTTAGTTTGGAGAAATCTCCTGAAACAAGTCGGTTCTTTTAATTTCAATATGCCACAGCTATATGGGAAATTTAAAATATAGTTTGATCCACCTTTGAGGTATGCAGACCGCGTATATATTTGGATATTGCTATCAATGCGAAGTCCGTACATCTATTATTCACCATCAATCGAGCGTCCGAGTCCAATTGAGCGTCAGAATACGGACGCCCTATTGAACTTCCATAGATAATTTGTCAGCGATCGTAACACATAATTGCCATTTTGATATTGAAATTATCGGATCGATCCTTTTTTTGTCAAATATTAAAAAAAAAACTAATTCATTATGGTATAATGTTAGTGAAATTCCATTCCATGGAAAGCTGAATTCAAAATTTTATCACACATAGGGTTTGTCCAATAAATTGAGTGATCCCGTAAATCAGTGGATGAATTCGTTTCGGAAAACAAATCGATTTAAATTCTCAATATGCCACATAAGTATAGAAATTAGAATTTACGTTTGAGGTATGACGCCCGCAAAAAAATTTTCAAACGAAACAACCTATAAATTATTCAAAATTTTGAAACTACGTTATCGGTAATTTTCAATCGCAACCTCAAGAGAGTACGAGAACACAGAATTCAACGGACCCACTGTATACAAATCCCCTGTGTGATGTACTTTCCAAGAATTGAATAATTCATAGGGTGTTCTATCTGAAAAAATTTGCGCGTACGTCATAACTCAAACGTGGATCACTCTGTTTATCTAATTTTTCCCTACTCATGTGAAAAATTGGAAATTGAAAGCGACCCATTTCAGGAGATTCCCCAGGTAAAAATAGTTTTGCTTCCCCAGGTATAAATAGTTCATAGAAATTCTGTAATACAAGGAAATACGAAACATGCATAGGAATTATAATAAACTGAAACTTCCTGAGAGTTTCAGTTATTTGTACACCAGTATCACGGTTACCCAATAAATCCCAGGAATTAGAAGAATTCCGAGGAATTTGACGGAATTTCAGCCTTCTGAAGAATTCCAAGGAACTCCAAAGAATTCCAGTGAATTCTAAGGGATTCCAGTTTGAGAATTCCATCGTCAAAGTTTTGTACACTAAACTTCAATTTTACAAGGAAATCCTAGGAGTTTCAAGGAAATCTAAGAATTTCCAAGGAATTACAGGAAATTTCAGTTGTTTCTAGACGAGAATTATATCGCACTTCATCCAAGGAATTTCAAGGAACTCCAAGGAACTTGAAGGAATTCCAAGTAAATTCAAGGAATTCCAGTTAGTTCAACACCAGAATTATATCTCGGTTCACTCCGGTCTCGCCGGAGGATGTATATTCTGTAAATTTCAACGTTGACAATTACGAACTTCAGGTTAAAATTGAAAAATTCAATACAATATCTCAGAATGTTGAGCAGAATTGCTATTTGGGTTCGAGGAATATGATTTTCCAGGCAAATGAGACTTTCACATGATTCTGTCATTTGTTATCTGATTATCCTTAAAATGAATATCTCCCGCAAGTACACATGTTCTTCAAGATGTATTCTTTCAGTTTTCTGAATGAGGGTGTTGGACCCATCGAATATTTTCATATTTTCAGGAGACAGAAGTACCAGAATCAGAGGAAGAAAATGACATCGAAGATCACGACGATTCAGTCAAGGACCCTAATTATGAATTGAGTGAGACTAGTTCTGAGGTATATAATTATGTTGTTATTCGTTGTGATAGTTTCCCTAACCGATCATATTTCATCATTACCTACAGAGTTCATCTCTCAGGCAGATTTTTCAACAGAGTTGCATAATCATTATTCTTTCAACTCTCTTAACCTGAAGAGTGTGTACTCTTTCATCTCCTTCTTGAATTATTCCTAGTATCCTTCAATACTGATAACTACCCATATTGATCAGAATATCTAACTGTATGAATCAAATATTCATGAATTGAGATTTTGATATCATCTAGAGAGTACTCTGAAAATATGTTCATTTTATTTCAGGAAGAAATAAATTCTGATGTGGAAGAAATTCCTAGAGACGAAATTGAATCTGATATGCTGAATGAAGATCCTCCTATTAGGAATAGATCTTGTATGAATTATGAATCGAAGGATAAAATCAAAAAAGGCAATAAAGGAAAAGATTTCTGCTTCCATTGCGACAGTCTTGTTTTGAATTTTGCGCGTCATATAAAGCGAAATCATTCAACAGAGCTTGATGTACAGAAAATCTTCTCGAAACCTCCACGTTCGAAAGAGAGAAAAGAACTACTCAGCAAATTGAGGAAGAAAGGAAATTATTTGAATAGCAATATCTACAGAAAGCCAGTGAAAACACCATCAATAAACACAAACATTTTGCCTTGCAACAACTGTTTGGGATTCTACTCAGCAAAACAACTGTGGCGACATAAGAAAAAATGTTGTGGAACTGGTTCGAAGGCATGTCAATCAGAAGCACAGCATTTTCATTTGAAAAACTCGAAGATTGACAAACAGTTGATAGAATCTGTATTCCCACGAATGAGGGCTGATGAGGTATCTCTGCAAGCTAAAGAAGATCCTCTTATATGTGCTTATGGTGCAAGGTATATGAAAATTCATAGAGAAAAGCATTTTGTGAATGTCACATCACGCAAAATGCGAGAACTGGCAAAATTACTAATGGAGGCAAAGAAGGAGGAACCGTCAATAAATAATTTATTCGAAGCATTACAGCCAAAATATTTCGACTTGCTGGTTGCGGCCACAAAAATCGTCGCAAAGTATGACAAAGATAAAGATTGTTACAAATCACCTACTTTCGCACTAAATATTGGAACGACTCTCAAACAGTGTTGCAAAATCGCCATTGTATTTGCTCTGAAAAGAAAAGAGGTATATGCAACATTACAATCGGCTGAGGCGGAAGCTAACCTTAAAACAATGATACAACTCATTGAATCGCATTGGCGTTTTGATGTTTCTAGCCAAGCAGCAAATGATTTGAACATGAATAAGTGGAATAAAGTTACTCTAGTTCCATTAGCCACCGACTTGAAACATTTGAAAGATTTTCTTATCAAGACAGCCAATTCTGCTGCAGAGGCACTATCGAATGGCAATAAAGATCGAAATTCTTATGTCACCCTCTTAGAAACCGTATTCTGTAGAGTAATGCTCCTCAACAGGAGGAGACCAGGAGAGCTGCAAAGGTTATTGTTAGAAATATATGAAAATTCGGGAAATATTTCTCAAAACTATGAAGAATTCACTGAAGCCGTTACACCATCAGAAAAAATATTGATGCAGAAGTTCAAAAGAATTGTCATAAGAGGAAAAAGAGGTCGTGGTGTTCCTGTACTGTTCAGCCCTGATGTTCAGCAGCACATCAAAATTATGTTGAATCATCGTCCTGATTTTGTAGCGAAGGGTAACACATATCTTTTTGGCAACCCAAAAACAATGGAACCTATATGTGGTTATAAGGTATTGAAAAAGTACGCAGAAGCTTGTGGTGCTAAGAACCCGCAAGCGATTTCATCCACAAGGCTCAGAAAACACCTAGCAACATTGACGCAAATTTTTAGTATGTCTGAAGGTGACATAGAACAGTTAGCTTCATTCATGGGTCACACAGTTGGCGTTCACAAAGGGTCATACAGATTACCAGACGACGTCTATCAAACGGCGAAAATATCAAAATTATTACTTCTGATGGGGAAAGGATCGGCTGCCGAATTCAAGGGAAAACCTTTGAATGAAATTGAATTAGATCTGGAAGATGATCTCATGAACAATGATGAGAAAGATGACGGAGCTACAGATGCAATCAATGTGAGCACGGAACCACTTTCCAGAACTGTTTCAGATCATAGTGAAATGAATATACTTCCTAAAACGAATAAGCGTATATTGATTCCATGGACAGATAAACAAAAAGAGGCCGTCAACTCATTTTTCGCCGAACATATAAATAAAAAACAGCCACCTAAGAAACATGAATGTGAAGCTGTTAAATGCCAAAATCCAAATTTATTGGAAAACAAGTCGTGGCTAAAAATAAAAGTATATGTGCAGAATGAGTACATGAAAAAAAAACGGAAGTAAACGAAACTAAGAAGATAAACCGAAAATAAGTACCGAATGATTCTTGATGTGGTGATTAGACATAGGTAACTGGAGAAGGATATCGAATTGATATCTAGAGATTCCATAATAATGGAATTTCGTTTCAAACGTTTTGTTATTTTGAACTTTTTATTATACAGTATGTAACTGTATTTTTTCCGAATGGAACCTATATTTATTTTTCTCCTCAGTTGATTCTACACATAATTCAAAATATACTCTTATACCTCATACCTGAAGTGAACAGTTCGAAAGATTTTCAATAATTGAATGAATGAAATTCAACGAATGTGTTTTTCTTATTCCAAGAAGGATGCCTTGGAATATGTTCATCGGTAGGTCTGACAGGAGTCAAATTGAATTTGATTGCGTTTTTCTTACACTTGCTTTCTCCATAATTGATAATCGAATTCAAACAATCATCATTCGTATGGTCCAAATGAGCCATTTCTTAACAAGCTTATTCAACTAAAATAACTGAAATAACCAAAATCAATTTGACGTTTGTCAGAGACTTAACCAATGTACATATCTCAACGCAGCTCTCTTTAATTCTACAGAATTCTGCAGAATTTTTTGATTAATCAACCAGGAATAAGAAAAATATCAGTGACATTTGAACAGCACTGTGCTGCTGACTATTGAACACAATTTGGATATACAAATTCCAAAATATTTGTGATATGTAATTGATATGCTTCTTAGTTGTTGTGAGTTGAAAATATTCCAGAAAACTGAATGTTATTCGATTACCGATGTTCCTAAATTCACCTAATCCAAATCAATCTACTTTTTTGGCCATATCTAATTAGCCCTCGTCAAGAATCATCCTTCATTCATAATCATTATCTGTTTTCACTAATTCACATTTCTGAATGTCGTTTGTTTTTATATTTTTTCAACGAATGAAGTTTCATTTTGTTCTCATCATTCATTGAAAATTATTTGATTTTATATAGATTATATTCGATTACTGATGTTGCTGAGAACCTCATCCGAATCGATGTACTATTTTGAACATGTATAATGAGTTTCATTTTGTTCTCATCCGAATCAATGTATATTTTTGAACATGTCTAATACGCCCTTGTCAGGAATCACCCTTAAGTCATGATGTTCATCTGTTTTCACCAATTCACATTTCTGAATGTCGTTTGTTTTTATATTTTGTCAACGAATAAAGTTTTTTTTCTCACCATTTATTCATTCAAGTCATAATACGTGTACGAATTTTTTGATATAGGTAACAAGAAAAAATGTGACAATACTATAATAGAAATTTCGACAAAGCACACTTAGAATTAATTGTAAGAAGGTATTGAATAATCCCGCGATTTCGTTTCGAATTCCAAATAATAACTCGAAATGAATGCTGATCTTGTGTTACAGTGGAATTTTAAGTTAAACGAAGGTTTATAACGAATACGCAATATTTTTTGCTTTTGGAATGAAATCAAGGGATTCATAATTTCGAGTTATACCTTCATACTAACGCAGGTAGTCGAATAAACACTTATTTTAAATAACAACATTAAATAAACTTCAAAGATATCAAGGTATAACTAACGAAAAAATAATAAATCGCCTCTTGGTTATATTGACAATCAACTTTATTAATTTTGTGGACCATACGAGGTATAAAACAATTCACAAATCACAATCACAAAGGCATGAATATTATTTAATGATATTCAATTGAATATTCGAAACTGGGATGAAAATACGGAAGGTACATCAGTAGGTATTCATTGGAGCTGCGTATCAAGACGTAACTTGTTGAAACCATTTCATTTGCAGAAATCTCAACTGAGCAGTCATGAATGTCTCTTCAGTATCTACAATAAAACACGCATTAATTAGTTGAATGATTGGTGAGGTTATAAGTTTCTTGTAGAGGATAGAATCCTCAGATATTTAAATATCCTGAAAATAATGAACTAACCTATTCCATTGGCTATCACAGTGGCCATCTGTAGATAAGAATCCTAGCAGATCCATCAGATCTCTTGGAGGTGCAGAAGTTGTAGAGAGAAGATAGTCAGCACCTGCCTCATTCGTTCCTCATGGTACTTATGTAGTTTCTGCTAAGGTCCCTGCATCATAAATCAAGTATTGAGGCATGTATATTCTAACAGAGATGCGAAATCAGAAAATAATAATCTTACCTATTCTATTGGCTATTCCAGTGGCTATCTGGAGATAAGAATCCTAGTCGATTCATCAGATCCATCAGATTCTTTGAAAGTGCAGAAGTTGTAGAAAGAAGGTGTTCGGTATCAGCTCCTGCCTTGTTCGTTCCTCTTGCTTAGGTACCTAGAATATAAACCAAGTATTAAGGCATGCAAATTCTAACAGAGATGCAAAATCTGATATGTCTAGAGCAATAATCAGATACTGAGTTACCTTTCTTGGAGACGCGAAGTCGCTCTTTTTCAATCATGGCCTTGTCATTACCTACTTCGTGCAGTCAAACATTATGTGAAGAGTGGTTGAGACTGGTTCAATTCAGCCTGAGCATCATCGGCTTTCATTCCTGAAGCTTCGGATTAGCGGATTGAATCTTTGTTTCATGAGATTCAATCACCAAATTTAGTACCTTCAAAAAGTTATTTGTCAGTTATTCTCCTGAATAACAGTGTTCCTAGTGACCAGTTTTAGTATCACAAAGAGAGGAACTCAAAGTCATTACCACACTAGTTCATTAAATGAACGAAAATGGTTGATAACGGGAAAAATACAAATACTTTCCTGGCTATATGTCACACAGAACATTGGAATACATCCTCCCGAAATCTATGCAATAATTCGTATAGACGAATAAAATCGCAAGTGTTTTCCTCCTAAACGCTGAGCTGCGCTTAAGTGGTTCAGGAACGCGTGACTACCTGCAAACTGGTTTCGAGCTGTTAGCTCTCATCAGTACAGGGCTGTCTCAGATAGCTTCTTGACCGCTATCTGGTGCGAACCTGACCCAACGTAAACGCATCTCAGCATTCATACCACATGAGGCGTTCGAAGTCGAAAATGAAAACGCGAACGCCATCTGGCAAGGAAAGAAACACTCCAAAACAAGATCCCATTTCAGATGAAATGGGAGTGGCTGGTTACCCGACTGGCGTATTTTCAACTAGGAAAAAGCCAAATACTCAAAGTGGAATGCAATGGTCACAAAGAGAGAAACTCAAATTCATTACCACACTTGTTCATAAAATGGAAGGAAGGAAGGAAACACTTGCGATTTTGTCCGTACATACGAATTATTGCATAGATTTCGAGAGGATGTAATCCAATGTTCTGCGTGGCATATAGCCAGGAAAGTAGTTGTTTTTCTCTCGTTATCTACCATTTTCGTTCATTTTATGAACTAGTGTGGTAATGACTTTGTGTTTATCTCTTTGTGACCATTGCATTCCACTTCGGGTATTTGACTATTTCCTAGTCATTTTCAGAATGTTAACATTTTTGTATATCGAAGACTGGAACCTTTGGCACGATAATCTACTTCACTGTTTTACCAGTAACCAATCCGATTTTTCGAACGTCTTGACGTGTTTCACTATGTTGGCATCTTCAGAAGAAGATTAAGGCTGTTAAACACGTGTCGAGGCGTTTGAAAAATCGGTTTGGTTAGCGGTGAAACAGTGTGTTAGATTTTGATCGTAGGTTCCTCTCAACATTCGACCTCTAGATAATGAACACCCCAATCTCCCAAGTAAGCCATGGCTGGTTTTTCTTTTAAAGCACCTGGTAACCCCTTAGACGACGTGAGAAATTTGTTTTTAGGTCTTTCATGCTCCTTTGCTATTCGAATTAGTTTTTTTCTATCACTTGGGGTGCACGAAAAGAAATTTCTATAATGTTCGGAGAACATTGTGCGTACCAATAAGGAGAGATAGGGAGAAGAAGTATGTATTGGAATTATTTTGTTATTTTGGAGCTCATGAGTTCTTGGAAATATTAACTTTGGCAAATAAATCCGAAGCTTTGCCATTCAATAGACAAACAAGTTTTGGTAAAGATTTGTTCCACATATTTCAAGGTTGACGACGAAGGGATGTGCTGAATGGGCAAGTTGAGTTCGTCTGACTGGTATTGCTAGTGATGGAATGATAGAAGACATTTCTGAAGAGCATTTCCCGTGGAAGTATTTATAGAAAAGTGGAAGGTCGCCGACTTTTTTAGGATGTTCCGATGATGTCAAAGAATTAGTGAGTATGGTATCACCAGGCGAATATCTCTTCTTTGGATGGAATCTGAGAGCATCAGCGCATGTTTGGGTGCCGAACCCCTTTGTGAAAACCGTATTCTAGTTGGGGAAAAAATTGTTCTGAATAATGCTATGAAGTATTTTTGATTGATTCTGTCTATGTACAAAGTCGAAAGAGAAATCTATCCATATTTCTCTTCTTCCTATTTTCAAGAATTCGGAAGGGGTATCAATGTTTCCATTGATTAGACAAATCAAGGTCTCCAGATCTCAGAGCGTATGAAATTCAAACAAGGCGAGGTGATGAATTCAAGAATTGATTATTTCTTATATTCCATACTCTCATCACTCCCAGTTTCACCGTAGACGGTCCTAACCTACATCTTATATATTTCAACTTGTGAAAATTTTACGGGCAATTCTGAGTACGATCACATACTTCTGTGACGAAATAGGTACAACTGAGCTGTCAAAAACACTTTTGCATCCCTGATAGAGCAATGTCATTTCAATTCTTCCTTCCAGTAATTTCAGGAGCTATCGAGCTCTTTGATGGGGATTCATCTTGATTTCAGAGATCGATTTGTTAGCTATTTTGGAGCCATCATTTCGAATTCATGAATTTTGTCAAACATTTTCCACTTCGAGAACCCTCACATACCGATTTTGAATTTGGATCATTATCACAAACCTCATTCGCCATCTTGAATCTCGAATTGGTGAGGTTTGACAACAAATCCATTATCTTCTACCACAAAAACCCCCACATGCC